CGCCAGGACCGCTCAGACACAGACGACGGGGGCAGGATCAGCTATGAGAATGGAAACGACAATGCCAGCAGGACTAGTGAGTAGGGAAAGGGGGAGACATAAGGCTAAGAATTCCTTAGGATCATCATGATGATCTCAGCATCACTGCTCTCAGTATACATGGTACCGTAAACACAGTATTGGCTCCAGGTTTTGGAGGAGGTGCGCCCGTCCTGCAGCAGGTCCTGGGGGCTCTTGTCGCTGGGTCCCCAGCAAATGCCCAACCATGCCAACCCTTGCTGCCAACCCTGCCTAAGTGAAAGACCAGTTGCTGTCTCTGGGAGCAAACAAGCTAAATTTTAACAGCGGAGAGGGAGGGCAAGCGATCACAATTCCTTGCAGTCTGCATGAAAAAGGAACAATGCCTGATTTCCACACAGCTCATCATGCATTATATGGGGAGTGAGGTGTTGTTGTTGTTTAGTCATTTAGTCGTGTCCGACTCTTCGTGACCCCATGGACCAGAGCACGCCAGGCACTCCTGTCTTCCACCGCCTCCCACAGTTTGGTCAGGCTCATGCTCATGTTTGTAGCTTCAATAACACTATCCACCCATCTCATCCTCTGTCGTCCCCTTCTCCTTGTGCCCTCCATCTTTCCCAACATCAGGGTCTTTTCCAGGGAGTCTTCTCTTCTCATGAGGTGGCCAAAGTATTGGAGCCTCAGCTTCACGATCTGTCCTTCCAGTGAGCACTCAGGGCTGATTTCCTTCAGAATGGAGAGGTTTGATCTTCTTGCAGTCCATGGGACTCTCAAGAGTCTCCTCCAGCACCATAATTCAAAAGCATCAATTCTTCGGCGATCAGCCTTCTTTATGGTCCAGCTCTCACTTCCATACATTACTACTGAGAAAACCATGGCTTTAACTATACGTGAGGGGGAGTGAGGTAGGCGCTGCAGAATCAGAAAGAAGTTGAAAACACATCTCTGCAAGAACTAAATTGGTGGCTCTGCATATGCAAACAGATCTCTCTTGTCAAGCTTGCTAAGATCATCCAGTCCCACTCCCAACCTGCACTTGAGGGTGGGTTTTTCCCCCCCTACAGATTAACGTTTGCAAGACAGATCACATTATGCTACCAAAAAAAGGAAGGTTGCATGTTCTCTTTGACTAAGGAGCAAGCAGAGCCCTAGCTAGGTGATCTTGCACCCCTAGCAGAACTGTCCAGATTGTGCCCCCTGGCCACGGACAAATTAGCTCTTCTTTCCGCCTCTCCTCCAAACCCCACCCCACCCCATTCAATTCACCCTCTATTTAAAACTTTTTCTTACGAGGCAATAATCAATATTTTTATTTATGGACATATGTTTAGCCAATTTTAGGCCCCCCTCTCACCTGTGCCCCTGGCAGGGCCCCACCTTGCCACCCCCTAGCTATGGCCCTGGGAGCCAGAACTCCATTGCTGCTTGAAACCTTAAAATTAAAACGGAGAGAGAGGTGTTTGGGATAAAGTATCTGTTTGCTGTGGGAAACACAGAAGTGAAGAGAACACACACACATACACGGTTTACCATTTCAATATCCTCCATTGCGAATGGCAGAGTCTGCAGACTTTGCTTTGGAGGCCAACACGGAATTGTTCACTCCCGTCTATTCCATGCAGCCTAGTCTGTAAGCTCCTTAGGAAAGCTTAGCATTTTGCATACCAAAATAGTTGTCTGCTTTCCATGGTGCACTCAGTAAGGAACTTTGCTTGGGTTTTACAAAATCATTAGCACAATGTCCGTCATTAGGGTGGGCAGGGGCGGCCAGAGGCCAAGAAGTTGCAAGGATCCCGGGAGGGGGAGACCAGTGTGCCTCTTTGTTCTGCACACAGAGACACACGGCACTACCCGTCTCAACTCTCTGGTGAGGCCCTTGTCCATGGCTAGCTCAGCCACTCATGTTTGGGGCAAAGGCCAATATTTGCCCCCTATATCGCACTGTGAAATCCCCAACAGAACTCTGTAGGATGTTTTCATAGGAGTGAAGTAATGATGGGTATTCATTAAGGGGCAAAGGTTAAACCAATCATCTGCTCTTGTTGTCCTCTTGCGTTAGATAACTGCTTTTTACTGTTTTTACTGTTGTAAATCCAAGATATTGGCTCAGCTCTGCCTCCACAATTGGAGGCAGTGATGCTTCTGAATACCAGTTACTGGAACCCACAGGAGGGAAGAGGGCTCTTGTCCTTAGATCCTGTTTGCGGGTTTTCCTTTGGGGTATCTGGTTGGCCGAGGGACGCGGGTGGCGCTGTGGGTAAAAGCCTCAGCGCCTAGGACTTGCAGATTGTCAGGTCGGCGGTTCAAATCCCCACGGCGGGGTGCGCTCCCGTCGTTCGGTCCTAGCGCCTGCCAGCCTAGCAGTTCGAAAGCACCTCCGGGTGCAAGTAGATAAATAGGGACCGCTTACCAGCGGGAAGGTAAACGGCGTTCCGTGTGCTGCGCTGGCTCGCCAGATGCAGCGATGTCACGCTGGCCACGTGACCCGGAAGTGTCTTTGGACAGCACTGGCCCCCGGCCTCTTAAGTGAGATGGGCGCACAACCCTAGAGTCGGACACGACTGGCCCGTACGGGCAGGGGTACCTTTACCTTTTATCTGGTTGGCCACTGTGAGAACAGAGTGCTGGACTAGATGGAAATTGGCCTCATCCAGCAGATTCTGATTCCCTGAGACTGATGCTTTACCTATTTTGTTTGTCAGAATTAACGAAAGGACGCGCTATTGGTTTCTACTAAGGATTGAGATCCAAATCTTAAGTTCCTGTAATTTCAGGCACAGCTCCCTCCATAGTGGTGAGAATTGGGTTGAAATTGTTGATATCATAATCTATGGTGTGATCATACTTGGAATACTGTGTACATTTCTGGTTGCCTCACCTTAAAAGGGACATGGTGGAGCTGGAATAGGTTCAGAAAAGACTGATCAAAATGATCAAGAGGAAGGAGCAACATTTGGGGCTGTTTGATTGAGGGAGAAGAGAATAAAGGGACATGATAGAAGGGCATTAAGATATGGATTCCATGTGGAAAGTGGACAGAGAGGTATTTTTCTTCCTCTCCAGTTATATTAGAATTTGTGGGTATCCAGTGAAAATGAATGCTGGAAGATTCAGGACTGATAAAAGGAAGTGCTTCTTGACACAGCACATAGTTAAACTATGGAAATGGCTCCCACTAGGGTCAGTGGGATGGCCACCAACAGAGATGGCTGTAATAGAGGATTAGACAAATTCATGCAGGAGAGGGATATTGATGGCTATGTTTTTCCTGCACTGTTGGAGAAAGTTCTTGTTGGCATCCATCTGTCTCAAGCATAGCAGCCAACTCCTAGGGGCCATGGGGGCTTTGGCCCCCACAATAAAATATTTGAGGGGACCGGGCCCCCACAAAGTTGATGGGCATTCCCATTCAAATGGTGTGTGCGCACTGCGTCATGCAATCAATTATGCAGGGGGGTGGGTTGCCTGGTCCCCCACAATATTTTATTCAAGTTGGCACCCCTGGTCTCAAGAGACAATGGAGTACACTTTCAGAGGTGAAAAACCGCTGTGTTAGCCGCATCAAAGTGACCTCCCTGGGCGGTGTGTATAGATAGAGGTCCTGGGTTGCCCAAACGACAGGATCCCTTCTCCGTCTCACTAATATGGTCCAAAGGGAAGCAGAGCAGTACATTTGGCACCAGCTTGGCTGCAGGAGTTGCCAGAAGGAGGCGTACAAGACGCCATCCAACTGCCTTTGCGACTCCATTCCACATTTGTGTAGAGTTTACTCCTTAGCCTTTTCTTTTCCTGAAGATATCCTGCAAGGTTTAGGATCGGAGTTTTCCTTTTCCTTAGATGGGCTACCTCCCCAGTTGGATGAGCCCCATTTGCCCCTCCCTTCCCTCTACAGCACATGCAGAAACCGCCTTTTTGAACGTTGGATCCACTCTTGGTCTCGTCCACTCAATCCGCTGGAGTTTGTCTCCACATGCAGGGCAAGTCCCTAACTCACTGAGGGTTTCAGACCAATTGGCTCCCCTCACCTGGTTAGCTGGCCAGTCGAGGCTGTTCCCAGGTGTGGCTGCTGTTACATGCAGACAGCTTCTAGAGCCACAGGTGAAAACGGAGTGCAGGGTGGGGACCAAAGGTGGACAAAGTACCCTAGAAGGAGCATGATGTGTCCCCTAACACCTTTGAATATCACCGGTGGGAAACCAAGGGGGGGAGGGGAGTGCTGTTGTGCTCAAACCCTACTTTTAGGCTTCCCGCTGAGTCACCTGGTTGGCCACTGAGAACAGGATGGTGGACTAGATGGGCCCCCTTTGCCTCTCTTCTCGTCTTCTTTACTTCCTGTTTTCTCCGCAATGCCTGAAGTGGAGCACAGAGAGAGCTTGCACATCTCACTGAAGATGTTGCAGAGCAGCACAGAGATGGAGAAGCACAAGGCATTGGAGCTTTCCACCCTCTCTGCTTCTGGTAATGTAGTAACCAATCCCTCCTTCCCCAACCTGGTGCCCCCCAGATGCTATAGAGTCTGGGAGGACACCAAGTTAGTGAAGGCTGACCCAAGCCATGCTGAACAGAAGCAATTTCTCACATATGTGAAACAAATAGGCCAGCTGATTCAGCCAATTTTAAATTTCCCAGATCGACGGGCATATCAGAATAAAATTATTTTATCAAAGCACCTGTTTTTCTTGTGGCATTGTCAAAGGCGCTTCCTCAGAATAGTTTGCAGCAGGCATTGTCATGTTTAACATTTCTGGCTGCGAAGGGATTACATATACTTTTAAAAGGTCCTGTTGTTTTCCATCTTCTCTGTCTACCTCACTCCTCTCACTACACACACACACACACACACCCCCGGCACCAACAGGCCCACCTCTTCTGAGGCATCGCGTTTATTTGGTAAGTTCACGTCATGAGAGCTGAGGGCAAAGGAAAGGGCTTCCTGTGCCCTGTAATCTGCTCAGTAAGCTGTGGAGTTTAACTAAACAGGGTGGATAAAATTAGTCTGAGGGTCTTGTTTTTTGCTGCTGCTGCTGCATTTTGGTTGGGGGTTTTTTGGGTGGGGGGGGGGGAGAGGACTGTGTGTAGTGCTGTGAATATTTCTTCAGCCAGGAAAAAAATGGGGGACAGATTCCAAACATTTCCAGGTAGGAAATCATTTCACATATTTTCAATATCTTGGGGTCTGGAAAGCCCTTTGGCTTTCACTTGAGAGTTTTTTGTAGTCTGCCTTGTGGTCTTGTTGAAGGTTTTGTTACCATCTAAGGGACACCTGCGTAGGAGTCTTGATTTGCCTTTTCATCTCTTTACAGCCCAAGGGGAGGTTGGGTACTGGATCTGACACTCCCAAAGGAACAAATTTGGACTGCGGATGGCAAACCCCAGGGGCTGTGGCGCAACCAAATTCTTTCCCCTTAGACAGGTGTCTAAATGTCAGGTGAAAGAGCATTTTGGAAACTGTGGTGGCTGAAATGGTGCACTGTCCACTCAGAGGAGACGCACCGAAAAGAATGTGATAGACAACAACTCCATGTAAAGCTACATGGATGCCTAAGCAAGTGTTGTGCATAAAGGTCAGAGGTAAAAGGACTGGTGTTTTAAATCATCATTTCTATTCATACTGTGATTTCAGGTGTGCTTTTCTTGCCTTTGGCATTTAGATTTGCTGCTGTCTTTTCTTCCCCTCTATCTGATAGCCCCCATATGTTCTTCTTCAAAAGAGTCTAGGAATCTTTTTTTTAAAAAAAAAAGAAGTGCAAAAATTCTGTGTCTAGTTTGATTTGAAGCAAAGGAAACCAGGTGTCTGCCTTTATGAGTGATGGAAAGCAGTTATACTGCTGGAACATGTCACCAGCTGTTAATGAGGAGGGAGATTGAGATATTTTGTGTCTATATCCTCTCTTGTGGTTTAGCAAGAGCTGAATTTTTTTTGATTCTATGGTACAATTTGCTGTGCAGCCTTCATCTGCCATACATATCTCTTTCTTCTTATGCAAAGATTTATGTGATATAATTAGCTAGTCCTGAGGGGCAGCTAATACATTTGGGTCTGAGATTTAGTAGGCAGAAGCCTGTTTTATCAGATGCATGAAGCTGGCAGAAAAGGTAGTGGCTATATAAATGCATCAGCTAAGATACAGGGTAAGGAAAAGCAAGTAAAAAAATAAATAAACTGTGATCTGATACTGGAGGTATGAGACATGTAAGCCATGCATGTGTGCTGGAACTTCAAAGTACCTAAGAAGCAGTTCTGATAACATCAAATGAAGGACAACTTGGGGGGGGGGGTTGTAGTGTGAGCCTTGTACATTTGCACCATGAAATAGAGTGTTGCTGAATTCCAGGACCAAAGCATCTCCCTCCCAAATTCCCCTTGCATCTTTTGTGTTGAAGTATCAAAGGCCCTCAGAGTCTCCCAGTAGACCAGACTGCTTTCTGCATGCTCTCTTTCTTTCAACCAGCCTTCCCCAACATAAAGTCTAAATAAACATAGCAGTTACAAGATCTCTCCATTTGCTGAAGCAATGGTAATGCATACAACCTTCCTATAACTTCCATCCTCCCCAAAATATGCATCCAAATCACTGCGGGGTCTGTATCTGAGACTGAGGTACTGCTCGCTGCTCATACCAGTGACAGGCTGTCTCGGGGCGTGAATACCCGTGTGCCACTCCAACAAATATACGGTATCTTCTTAATAGATAGATAGATAGATGATGATAGATAGATGATAGATAGATAGATAGATAGATAGATAGATAATACTTTATTCGGCTATAAGCCCACAAGGTAAAACCAATCAATAAATAAAATAGCATTTTACATTCTAAAATATCAACTAAAATATTTCAACGCATAATCTCCATCACGTTACATACAATCTCTAGATGTGTACCATATTGTGGCCTTGAATATAAAGATGGTGGATATCTTCTTAATCATGCAAGAGAGTACAGTGGAACCTCGGGTTAAGAACTTAATTCATTCTGGAGGTCTATTCTCAACCTGAAACTGTTTTTAACCTGAAGCACCACTTTAGCTAAGGGGGCCTCCTGCTGCCGCAGCGCCGCCGCTACACGATTTCTGTTCTCATCCTGAAGCAAAGTTCTTAACCCAAGGTAATATTTCTGGGTCAGCGGAGTCTGTAACCTGAAGCTTATGTAACCCGAGGTACCACTGTAGCTGTAAAGCAGGGGTGACTACTAGCTCTTAGCCCTCTGGGACAATTTCACTGGCCCACAGAGCCCCCACCAATTTTTCTGGCAATGGCAATATGAGGAGAAATATTGAAAAACACCACAGTGCTGAGGTGAGCAAATCACCCCCTCCTCATTCCTCAGATTGAGCACCTGATGAGCAGAAAGGGGGGGGACACCTCCACGGATCAGCAGAGGAGTGAGAGGGGGGGTCTGTGTGTAGGTATCTGCCTCATGTACATGTGAGAGTGCACATGAGAGTTTGTGGCCCCCAGAGAAGAATGTGACCCTTAGGCCCCAAAATACTAGCCCCCGCTGCCTTAAATATGTGAGCATCTGAGGCACTTTTGAAATATAATGTCTTTAGATATAAGCATAATCAATGTTTAAGGGTTTTTTTAACCCACCAATCCATAGTTGTTCTTTTTTTAAAAAGGATATTTATTGAAGTTTCAAAAATAATATATAAAATAAAAAGAGCAAAAATACAAACATAAAAAAAATACAAAAATACAAACAATCCATAGTTGTTCTATTGAATCAGAGCTTCAAAAGATTTAACCTGCTTCTTTTGGAATCCTCCTTTTAAGATGGAAGACACCCCCATCGCCCAACTGGAGCAATCAAAAATGGATTGCGTTTTGCAGACCTTCTGGTTCCTTCAGTGATAGAGTTTAAAGCTTCTCCCCCCGCCCCCGCCGCCTTCCAGGTGTGTTTTATACTTGGCAAACACAGCTAGGCTTCAGTGCCTTTGTTGGTTTGACTGCAAAGAAAGAAAGGTCTTGTAGGTGAATGAGCACTAAGAATTTGCCCTGGCTGTTCTGTTTCCTGCCCTCCACAGCCGCTCTCTCCGCTTTTGCAAATGACTCTTTGTCTGCACCAGTGACCCCAATCAGAAACCCAACACAAGCAGGTTTAGAGAGAGGAAAGACCTGTAAAACGACCCTAAGATCATCCATTCACACAATATTGAATGATGGAGTTTCCTCCAGTCGGATAGAATGCCTCGTGGATCCCAGCAAAAGCTGAATGCAGCCGAGGTTACGTGTTGCCCATAGACAGATCGGCTTAGGCCTTAAGCTGGGGAAATGGGAAAGGAAAGAAAAAAACCCTTATTTTCTATTTAAATGTCCTCCTTTGTTTTCTGTTTGTTTCTGTGACTGGTAGTTTTGCTGTGATGTTTTTTAATTATTATTTTGGGTTTTGTTTTTCTAATGCAGTAGCAGGGACGCGGGTGGCGCTGTGGGTAAAAGCCTCAGCGCCTAGGGCTTGCCGATCAAAAGGTCGGCGGTTCGAATCCCCGCGGCGGGGTGCGCTCCCGTTGCTCAGTCCCAGCGCCTGCCAACCTAGCAGTTCGAAAGCACCCCCGGGTGCAAGTAGATAAATAGGGACCGCTTACTAGCGGGAAGGTAAACGGCGTTTCCGTGTGCTGCGCTGGCTCACCAGATGCAGCTTTGTCACGCTGGCCACGTGACCCGGAAGTGTCTCCGGACAGCGCTGGCCCTCGGCCTCTTGAGTGAGATGGGCGCACAACCCTAGAGTCTGGCAAGACTGGCCCGTACGGGCAGGGGTACCTTTAATGCAGTAGCACACAGGTGAAATGAACAAGCAGCTAATATGCCAGTTAACTGGTTAAGCTTCTGGAGCTGATGCAAAGTGGGGGGCACCCTTAATTTTTTTCTTTTTTTAAAGCAGACACATAGAATTGTAGAGTCCTAAGCGACTAGTCCTGGTGACTCTGTGCTTCCTCCAGAGTCAGAAACAGTAGCCCTTTGAATGCCAGTTGCTGGGGAACATTGGCAGGAAAGAGCTGCTGCCCTCATGTGCTCCTGCTCCGTGGCACCCAGGGGGCCACTGTGGAAAGCCAGGTGGGGGAGCAGAGTTGTCCTTAGGATCTTAATCCCCTCCCATCCCCACAGCCTCGTTGTTTTAGTATTTAATCATAGCTGCTTATTGTGTACCCTTTGGCACCATGGAAACATGATTTCTAAATTTTAAATAAATGAATAAGGAAAGTGAATAAATAACGAATAAGGAAATGAATAAATGAATAAGAAATCAATTGTACAGGGAGATAATTTTGCAAATCCAAGAATCTCTCATTCCCAGGAAAGATCTGCTGGTCTCCTGGGATATCTTAATGAACCATTAAAAAGGGGAAACTTTTTTTTTATTATTTGCTTGTGCTGTACCAGAAACATTCAGATCGATTGACTGATCACTTTTATATCCAGCCTTTTCTCTCTCTTCCTTTCTCTTTCTCTCACCTCAAGAAAGCATTGCTTTAAATCAGAACACCTTAATCAAAAATGACTGTGCCTCTAAATGAATGTGAACATTTGCATGGCTGTTCTCCATGAGCCAGTCATGTGGCTCTCCTTTAGAAGGGAATCCGATGAGTAAAATTCTGCACAGGAGGGTTTGGAGGAAGTCTTGGATGCAAAGAATCAGAATCGCAATTCTCCATAAGTGATTATCGTCACATACTCTAAAATGGGATACACTTTAAAAAATGTGCAGAATGCAGCTGCGAGAGATTTGAGGGGAACAGTATACTATAGACAGATCATATAATCCCTAACTGGTATGAACTGTTCTGGCTGTCATTTCAATACTGAAGTCAATTCAATGGGTTTTCCTTTCCATGGAAAGCCCTGAACAGTTTAGGAGCCAGATTCTTGAAGGAGCCCCTCCACCTATATATGCCGGCTTGGGCCTCACATTCTGCAGGAGAGATCCTTCTCATGTGGGATGGGGCTCCTCTATGACGGTGCCCTGGTAGTCCCACTCCTTTCTCCCAGGGGAAACTGCTCTTTAGCGCTCAGTCAGAGCAAACAGCCATTCAAGATTTGGCAGGACTGGTGTTTGCTCTGATTTAGAGATAAAGAGCAGGTTTTCCCTGGGAAAGGGGCAGCATCAAGGGAAAACGACTCAGCCCAGTGCTTTCTAGA